GAAAAAAAACGTGATTTTAAAGCAAATTAATAATTCTCAATGTGTTGTTAATAGTTAATGTTTTTGGGCAAATAAATTATTGCTACTCAATTCATTTTTAGTCTTATTATATTTGAGTATCAAACTCTAGCACTGGCAGGTTTTCCAAGATTTTTCCAATACTCAGAATTATGTAATCCATTTCCCGTTGCTAAGGACATTTCCACCGAACATGAGCGGAAGGCAATTTGCATAATGTGAGAATCTCTTACGAGGCTCGATGTAGATACAACATCGGTGACTTCAGTTTTGCGATTGACTTAAGACGAATTTTGCTTCATTAATTAAGTTTGTCGGCATTTCTCCCATTTTTAATAACTGGTTTAGCTTCGATATAATATGAACGTAGTATGAACTTATCAGCACGACATGTTAGGGCTTCGTTCGACTGTGAAACTTCGGAAATAATACAAAATAGACGCGAGTATAAAGAGTAAATTTTCATCATGTTTGCGACCCGCCTTAACCTTTGAAAAACACTAAACTCTAACAGATTATAAAATAATGTTATATGTAATTATGTGTCGATAAAGTTTAGATAAAAAAATCATATTAAATAATATATGGTTATATTCGCAATGGTAACTTCACCCCGATTATTTATAAACAATATCCAACAATTTATAAATAATAAGAAATTCTGATAATAAAAAAATAATCTAACATTGATAAATAAAATTATCCAACATCTTGTCGTACAATATAATCAAAATTGTTCATTAAGGTTCAACAACAAATAAATATTAGTGAACTACCTAAAACCAATTCGATACGCGTCATCGTAACAGCGAGTGCGTTACAAGTCAATCGGTATAGTAACTGTATAATCATCGTACATGCGCGTTCATACTAACGAGGTGTGTTTAATAAAATCCAGGTTTTTTTAATCCAATGGGTAATAGTGCAAATGGTATAACATGATTTTGATACTACACTGATTTTAGCACGCGCGATTGGTTATGTTGTTTTTAGCGTGCTTACGGGCGTCGAGGCGATGCGATCTCGGTCTGAGTGAATCACGACCGAAGACGTCTCACCTTCCAGACAACGCAGGTGCGGCAGGGAACACGGCAGCTTCAGCCGTTACCTGCACCGCCTCGCCCCGAGGAAACCGACGCCAGAATACCACCACTACAGTGGTTGCGACGAGGACACAGCGGAGTATACGCTTTCGCGGAGTAGCACCACATCCTCGTTGCGAAGACAGGTCTTGAACTGTTGGTGCCAGCCATAATGGCTACGATGCTCGGCAACAAAGAGCCCTGGCGGCGGAAAGGAAACAAGAGCGCTCTGCTTCCCTCTCCACCGTCGGAGAAAGGTGTTCATCCAGCTCCAGCCCTATTAGAAGGCAGTCTTCTTCTGGTGCTTGTCACGTAGCAACCGAAGGGTGTCGTAGCTGCGTCGCAAGCTACCGTCACCCTAGCCCGCTGGCATTCAGTTGTGGTTACGGTTCGCAGTGCGCTCCGTATTGCCGGCATCGCTGTCGCTGCCAGACTTATTGTATAAAAGCAACCCGGTCAGCGGAGTATCACGTTCCGACCTGGTAGGCTGGTTCTGTAACAGCGGGGTATCCCAGAACACCAGCGGCACTGTCCAGGCAGCCTGTCGGGTCGTCGTACAGTAGAGGCCGGCGTATTTAATCGTCAACCATCGCCTCGACGACCCGTTTTTCATACCACATTTTCATAATTTTCTTTTTATTGCCATGCATCACGATAAGGCTTTAATAGTATCGGCGCTTAGCATTTGCAGCGTTTTGATAAATTTCATCCTGGATTAAATCCTAGCCGTCGTTCGTTGATGACACCATATCAACACTAGCCCTAGGAACTTTACATAGATATAATTTTTCAAATTTTCACAGCCAGTTTGTCAAACATTTGTGACGGAATCGATTACGAACAAACAAATGTTCATTTATCTTATTTTAATGTTCCCTAACGTTATTCGTAAGAGTCATCACGAAACAGTGTGGACTGTGGAACCGGTTAGCTAATTGCGTTGAGTAGACTGCTATATACAGCGGTCGACGCATCAATGTAATAATACCTCAATATTGGCGACACGTCACTTCAATCAATCCCCTGAAGATTTTTAAGTCACCATGATGATGCTTGCGTTTCGTTTTTAGTAAAAATAAAATTATCAAACAACCACATCAATTGGGAATAAAATGAGAAAAAATCACTGTTGACTATAGCCAAATATATCTTTTATATAGATATAAATAGGCGGCAATGACAAAATAATTAAGTACCATTTCCGCTGTTAGTCAACTGGTTTTTTTTTACGTTTAGTGTTATTGACGACAGGCAAACGTCCCACGAGACGGTCAGATCAAATTCGGTCTTGTCTGGACATCAAGCTCCACGATGCCAAGGATCGCAGCAGATGGAGAACAATCCTAAAAGAGAGATAGATGTAGCGAGAGAGTCACGACCCTCATTAATGAGGAAAACGGCGCAAGAAGGAAGAGTTATTGACGAGCTCTGAATTCCAATATTTAGTTTTAAATTTTACAAAATCGAAAAAAGTCTTATATTTTAAACATAGAATAACAAAACAAGAGATAAGACACATAAAATGAATTCAGAATAGTCGAATTTCGTATATTAGGCGAGCGAGCATTAGTAATTTATGAATACTTCTAACAACGAATATACCAACAGTGTTTTTAGTGATCATAAATATTCAAAGACATAAAGAACAATACCACAATTCATAATTAAGTATATCCTCGTACATCCTGTACATCCTATTTCAGTTTAAAAGATGTTCATTCAATAAAAATTATTAAATTATTACTATTAATTGCTTGGTAACAATAACCAAATTATTATTAATCGTTTGATATATGTCTGTCTGTTTGAGTGCCCGGAGCATATGAATATCATAATGACGCCACCAGAATAGTGACAACCAGTGATTACCCTCTAATATAAAACAAAAGCAAGGTTTATGCGGAGATCTATGGGGAATTTCTCGAGCTCATTAATTCCATACGCGACAGCACACAATAGACGGACATGTCATAATCCCGCGCGGAAATCTCCTAAGCGCTGTTTTTTTTCCTACTTATTCTAGTGACCTCGAAGGGTCATATTAGATTCACCGAACGAGCAGGTGAGCTTACGGAGCTCTAACCTGCCGAATTTGCTAACACTAGCCCAGAAAAAGCAGCGCCTCGCAGATTCTACCACCGGATTGGAAACGCGACCCACTAAGAAGATCCGACGAGAAATTCAGTGGGCCTTGTCTGGCGGTAAGCGCTGTCAAATATCCTGTTTCGGACGAGTTTTTAAAGTGCTAAGTGGTGTCTCAGCTGTGTCCCTGGCATTCTTTAACTCGATGGTAATAAAGAATCTGCTGCGATTGTAGTGTGGCGGTAGCCATCATACAACGCAAGATAGTTGACAGATGCGTGAATCTCGCTTACGACATTTTCAAGATAAGCTTGCATATATACAAGTTCCGAATAACATTCGGACCATCCGGCGAGAAACTCAGTGGGCTGTGTCTGTGGGTTAATTTCGAACGAAGTTAGAACAATAACCGGTGCTTGAGGTACCTAAAAGCACCTTTAGTGGATCGGGAGGAACCGAAATGACGTGTTTTGGGCGACGTTGACTGCTTTCCATTCTGTCCGCAGGATCGGGAATGAGATCTTCCTTTCGTCGTAAGCCTACAGTAGCCTTAATACTGCCGATATCTATGACCGGCCATATATTTTCCATTCGACAGACATCCGAGTATGTACTTATTTTCCTATAGCGGTAATAACGAAACAAATAAATTACTGTGCTTCATCGAAACATGTCTGGGACGCCTTCTAGACCGCCAATTATATACTTTTTTCGATTAAAACGATAATTTCTTAACTAAAACTATGAAGTTGTTTCTTTGTCTGCCAACAATATTGTGCTGACTGTAATGTCTGTTATTAGTCGAAACCTTAAATTTAAATTTGAGGATCTCGTCAGACTTGTCTGGTCTCCTCTGAAGTTTTGCGAATTTCTTCTTTTACAGTGGTAGTGGTGCATATTCGTAATTTTTGTCCTATATATACAACCCATTGAGTATCTCGCCGGATCTTCTCAGTGGGTCGCGATTCCGATCCGGTGAAAGATCCTGCCAAAACTGCTGTAGCTAGGCTAGTGTTAGCAAATTCGTCAGGAGAGAGCCCCGCGACCTCACCTTCTCGCTTGGTGAATCTAGTATGACTCCCTGAGGTTATTAGAATAAGTAGGAAAAAAAGTGATTTTTGTAACCTATTATTTACTAAGTAGTGACTCGGTGTGATTCGAGCCGGCACCGATTGATTTCCATAACTGTAATTAAAAGTACTTTTACAGTATAACCTCGCCTTTTTTATTGTCATTACATTATATCCAACGTTTCGGATAATTTACTGTTTACGTGTGTGCGTAATTATGTCTACGACTCGCATAAATCGAAGAGGTTTATACACTGTCTGTATTAAAAAATCTTACTTACCTACTCCAACAAAATTTATAATAATAACGAAAATAGGAAATTGTATATGTAGGTAATATATTCTTAAGTAAAATTATTGTTTCAAAACATGCCTATTTGCAAGTAAAGCACAGGAATATTCTAACCACACAAAAACATCGATCGCCATTCTATGAGCCTTTCTCTTGGATTAAAATAGATTATTATACAACAAACGAAAACAGCTTTATTTTTATCTGTTAATTTTAATTTCGTTCGATGTTATCAGTTATTAAAAGAACCGTTAATTTTTATCGTTTATATAAGAAAAACGCGAATCTTTTACGAATCAGCTTCATAATATTATGCAATTACATTATAAACTTCCAATAGACACTGGACTACCTTCGTTTGATCCTTTTAAGGAAATCAGAACGAGGTGTTTGAATCTAAGTACCTACTTATAATTACGTTTAACTTGGCACGGTTTCAGTAGCAAAACAACCGACCTTTTAAAGACTGGACCTCTGGAATCAGCAAAGTTGTACACCGCTCCAACAAGCACACGTACAATTATAAACCAATTCGACACGAATTAAACCAGAAAATCACTGTTTTCAACACAAAACCGTCGGAGACGATCGGAACAAATCACAAACTAACTTTTACATTCGAAAATTTGCAAATAAAACATTACGAAACTTTTTTGTGCACACAAAAAGTTATTTTAAAAGAAATTAAACGTATTTTTCATAATCAAAATGTTTGTTAATTAACACTTTTTGTTCCATTGTTTCGTTTACGATCGTTTCGTTGGCAGCTGATACGTGGACACGTAAATCACGCAACACTGCTCTAACTGGACTGAGGTGAAAATGGCGGTGGTTGGTTGACTGCGAGCTGGCGCCGCGACTCGCGATGTCAAAGATCAAGCGTGCGAACTATCAGGTGAGAAGGTAAAGAGAAAAGATAAAAACGATGCCTTCTCTATTTACGTGTATGTTCAATTATTATACAATTGTCACTTTATTAGAGTGGAGTAAAATGTGTTTTATTTTAGCTATACGCCAATTTGAAACAAATTAAATATAACAGTTTTCTAGCTCCGATAGCAAATGCAAATTAAATTACTCCTCAAGTAACGAAATGTAAAATAGCCTCATTTGATCAACTTTTTTGGGCTACCATTTATTTATTATTAATTAATTAAGTATAACCTGATGATATTCTGTATGATCAATGGATCAGGGATATCACACGATAAAGTTTACAGCAGGCACTTTTAGACAGTAGACAGCAAGGTTTTATGATTCCCAGAAGTTGATACAAACACATACACTGATCGTAGGTGTTGTTTAAGTTCATTGAACTCTGTAGAGATGTACGCGTGTAAGTGGGTACAGGACGCGGATTTTTTAAAAAATGAGCAAAGTCAGCAAAATTGTCGAGAAAATCAGGAGGGAATTAAATTGAGGATAAAATATACCAAAGATAAAAGTAGTGTATTTTAACCTCTGATATTCGACATACAAAAAAATCACGACGCCCTAAAAGGAAAGAAAAAGAAAATATAGTAATTACTAGCGGTAGTGGTCTATTACTGGTGGTAGGACCTCTTTTGAGTCCGCACGAGTAGGTACCACCACCCTGCCTATTTCTGCCGTGAAGCAGTAATGCGTTTCGGTTTGAAGGGCGGGACAGTCGTTATATGTAAATAATAAGAACTTAGAACTCATGTCTCAAGGTAGGTGGCGGCATTTAGTTTATGATGTCTATGGGCTCTTGTAACCTCTTAACATAAGGTGGGCTGTGAACTCGTCTACACACCTAAGCCATAAAAATAAAAATAAAATAGATATAATTCACATAGCTCTTAAATGAATCCTTAAAGGTTAATCAGGTGAAAAAGTGGAAATGGTTTTAAAAAAATGTTTTTAATGGAAAGATGGGTGAACGAGTTCACAGCCCATCTGGTGTTAAGTCTCATAAGCAGCTCCACTGAATGCTACCATCTACCTTGAGGCACGAGACTAAGTTCTCAATCTTATTGTAATATCTAACGGCTCTCCCACCGTTGAAGTCGGCACATATGTATATATGTATTCCTGTTTTCAATAAAAATAGAGAGTATGCCTTCTTGATGGTGTTACCTTTCCGAGCAGGTTTACAATAAGCCGTTGTATAAGTTTGTCAATTAACAGGATCTTACGTTCGGAGAATCGCATTATTCTTCTTCATAACAAGAGCTACAAATATTCAACTGTTGACTATAATGGACATGTTACCTTTGCTGCTTTTTAACTGCTGCTACTTTTTCTGCATAACTAGCGGTAGGCAGCTGTATGTAGGCCTTGACTCCTGATGGAACCATTTATTGATTTGTCACCCGTGTGAGCATCTATACTAGTAGAAATAACGTAATCGTCTTAATATATTATAAATCTAAATCGTACCTTTGCTTTTTACAACTTTGAACTTGCTTTAAAAAAAAGCAAAGCCAATCTAATTTTACCCTATTAAAAAAAAAACATAATTTCTTCAAACCCTAATACTTTCCACAGAAGTTATTTTCCAAAAGTCCATCTAGGTAGTATCTATGGAATTTGCAATCACATTAAAATATCCACACGAAAATTGCAACTTTATATTTTAGCTACCACGGATAGAGGAGCTGTCAATGCAATCCTTACGTACCTCAGTACAGGTTTAGACGCATTATAAAAAATCTTAATTGCATTATTGCTACAACAGAACCAGTACCAATTAAAACCAAAACATGAATTAAAAATGTAGGCAATACAAAATCTGTTGTAGATTGTTAATTAAAAAATTACGATAGAGTACAGAAAATAAAACATCTATCCCAACGAATTTCTCAAGTCATCAGTCTTCATTGAAATACATTTGAGTCTGAAATTATTTACTCATAGAGCACCTTTCTTCATCCTTTCACCTCTCACAAATCGCCTAGCTTTAATCTATGACGCAAGCGGCCCCAACTGCACTACCGCTCCGAAAACCGGTTGAAAAAAAAAGTGGCCACAAAATGCAAGTAGTAGATATTTAATTTTCGAACGGATTACGTAAAATACTAACATGAATATTCAAATCAATTATTTTAACGCCCCGAAAATGGATACAGAAATTGTTGGCTCGTTATGGTAGCGAGTCTGTTCGTCTTTTTATTCACATCACTGTCTTGGATTAGAAAGTCTAAAGAAAGAAAAACAATTCTATTATATATAAGTACACTAGATATATGTTTGTACATAATAGTATGTATATGATCACTTTTTATTGATCAATGTTGCATGCGTTGATAATTCTCTTTGAAAAAAAAAAGATCAGTTGAAAATAAACCGAAAATCTTATTGCCAGTCATTCTTTATTTCCATGATCCGTCCTTAAACCACTAATACTAAGTAATTGGCAAATTAAAATGTTTGTATTTGTAATATAAGAATTACAAAATATTTTGTTGTCCAAATGTTTTAAATGTGAACTTTTTTGTTGAACTTTCCAGACAAAAGCTCATGGATCTAGGATTTTCTCTTGTGTAATTAGTGTCGGAAATGTTAACATACCACTTACGGTTATGTCCTAAAAGTCAGATTATATCTGTACTAAAAAACCAGAAAAAACCGATAATCGTAGTTCCCAATTGATCTAGATCAGCGCGCCAAAATTTAAAATCAATAAAACACCTTATTTTCGATAGATATCGAATAGTAAAATAAATGTTGTGATTATAAAATAAAAATTTAAGGACATATCGTACTTGCAAAATAGTGAAAGATTCAACGCCTGTAAATTTTGTAGGTTTACTGTTATTGTTATGATATCAATGTACCGAATAATCATTAAAATTTTATGCCTGGAATAGCAGAATTCTATGGAATGCTACAACATACTTTCTGTTTGAGATTATATTATAGTTTTTTTTTCAATCGACATCACTATAGTCTTTCACAAAATTTAATTATTGTGTGTAGTTTATTTTTTGCATTTGGGAATAGAGATTCCAGATTATCCCGGTCATCGTTCTCGTCGAACCCGTCGCTTGCGACGAAGGGCTCGACGAGTAAACTAACCCTCAGACACAGCCCACTGAGTTTCTCGCCGGATCTTCTCAGTGGTTCGCGTTTCCAATCCGATGGCAGATTCTGCGAAGCACAACTCTTGCTAGGGTTCGTGTTAGCAACGTCATCAGGTTTGAGCCCCGTGAGCTCACCTACTAGTTAAGGTTACGCTGAAATAGCCTCTCAAGGCTTAGGTAGGAAAAAAAAATCAATTAACCTATACCTAGATGATTTCAACTCTGCCGTTGCCGGTCCCAAGCCCGGATGAGAAAAGAGGAGGGTTGGCGTTGGTATGCCACCTACCCGGCCGTAAAAGATAACGCCCATCAACGGGCGGCGGGCGGCGGGCGGTGGGCGGCGGTTATATACCCGAACTAGTGCTTCAGTAGCCCAGAGGAACTAAATCGCCTCTGAAATTCTGCTGTGGAAAGACGCGGGAACCCATCACTAGCAATTTTCCCAAGAAAACCTTTACGTATGTATTTCGTAAAGGTCACGATCCTCAGCACTGAGGAAAACGATGCACGGAGGAGATGATTTTCAAAACATCTGTTCGCAATAATAAGGATGTTCATTTTTTCTTGAACGTTCAGAATCCTGAATAATATTAAGACGCCAAACACATACCGTTCTACTATAAACATTAGAACAATGAAATTTTATTAAAACCACAAGCAATAACAGGTCAGTGCAGCCGTCCCGCTGCCTCGATAATTTAATTTTTAATAACAGTACCGTCCGTATGTGTTTATCGATTTTAATCGGCACAAAGGCTGCCATCCCTAATTACTTCATAACTCTGTGTTGTGCGAACTTAAAATTATATTGCGGCTCACAATTTATTTTACCTTTGAATTAAGTATATTATTGTGAATTATATAAAATTATTGACAAGCCTTAGAGGAAAAATGAATACTCTGCAAGGACGCCGTTTTTATGTTTATATTAAAGTGCAAAAGTGAAATGTTTTTAGAAAATCATTGTGACAACACTGCTTATACGCGAACTGTCAAAAGTCAAATACAATAGTGAAACGGAAATTAATTCAGTGTCGCAGGGGCTTTGTGGTTGATAGACTTCAAATAAATATACTGTTTTTTACGTTCTACTTGGAGAACTTCAAAATTAACCGGAACATGTGTCACATCTTTTTTCAGATCTCGTTTAATCAATTTTCCTCCTAATTTGTCCGATAACCTAAGGGACTCACAAGATGATAGGTGAGCTCACCGACGCAGCCTGAGAGTTTATTATTATTATTATTTTTTTTATTGCCCTTGTAGGCAGACGAGCATACGGCCCACCTGATGGTGAGTGGTTACCGTCGCTCATGGACTTCAGCAATGCCAGGGGCAGAGCCAAGCCGCTGCCTACCGCTTAATACTCTCCATAAGCCTCGTTTGAAGAAGGACATGTCATAGCGCTCGGGAAACACCGTGGAGGGGAGCTCATTCCATATCCGGATGGTGCGTGGCAAAAAAGATCTCTGGAAGCGCACTGTGGATGACCGCAGTGGCTCCAGGTAGTATGGATGAACTCTACTCCGGTGGCGGGCGGTGCGGTGGTAAAAACGAGATGCCGGTATCATCTCGAATAATTCCTCAGAGCACTCCCCATGGAACATACGGTACAAAATACAGAGGGAACCGAAGTCCCTCCGCAGACCCNATTCCATCCCCTGGAGCACCACGTCTTTAAGACGGTCCGCACAGACGTCAGGATCAGCAGAGGAAAAGCAGAACCGCCCCCATGGGTAGGATGCGTAAAATTCACGCAATCCATCCCAATCTGCTGACATATACTGCCAAACTCTTCGATACCCGGTCGTCGTTCGACGACTAGGACGAGAGAGTGGTGTGGCAGCACGAATAAGGCAGTGATCAGACGATCCAAGCGGAGCGTCGACCACCACACTGTATCCGGCTGGATCGGTGGTCAGCAGAAGGTCCAACAGAGAAGGCTCGTGCCCCTCAATATCTGGGACACGGGTGGGCTGTGTCACCAGCTGGGAGAAGCCGTAGGCCAGGGCGAAATCGTAGGCAGCCCGACCCGGGAGGTCAGTGGTTCTGGACCCCAACCACTCTTGGTGGTGAGCGTTAAAGTCTCCAAGAACCACTACCTCCGCAGATGGGTACTGCTCAAGCACGCGGTTAGTCCTCTCTTGCACATGCTCTATCAGAGCTGAACCTGCATCACTGTTGTGGGACCTGTACAGGCACGCGTAGACTCGGGTACCACCCTCGTGATCTACGCGTAGCCACAAGAGGGACAGGTCCCGTTGTTCGAGGCCTCGTAGACGGCGACAACAGACATCAGCCCGGACGAATACAGTCAGAAAAAGCAGGGTAGGCTGCGCCGTCTCAAGATGGTGGTGTACGGCGTCGAGGTTGCTATGTAGACCCCTTACATTGCTGAAATCCACATTAAATGTGGAATGGGGAATCGCCGACAAAACCCTTTTTCTTTTTCGAACTGTCATATTTTTTTTTGGAGAGTGGGATTAGGTGGGGTAGGAAGTTCGAGGCGAAATCATGACAACACCCGAATAAAGCGCGGAACACAGTACGTGCTCGACCACGGGTTGCGTGAGAGACTGACGCAGGGCATGGAAGGGCCCCCAGTCCACCCTGCGTGCGATCGCCGGGATCCACTCCGGTCTCCAACTCCGGCACGACGACCGCACGACAGGATCTTACACCGGTTGGCGGGACAGCTTCCCGGGGCGGAGTTGAGTAGTGACACCCGGGTTCAGGTCCCCAACTGACCGGCGGGCGGCGGCGAACACCGTTTCACTGGGTCTCCCTATACCCCCGTCAAACAATCACGTCCCGCGAGCTCGCACGCACATCTGCTCCGCATGTTCCAGGTATCATCAAGACTCACCCCGAACAAGGAAGAGGAAAGGGAAGGAATAAAATTAGCATTGGCAAGAGCGGTGCTTCGCTGAATCTATCACCGTATCTAAATCACACTCGACACTAGCAACAACGGTATCGCAAGTAGCCAATTGTCCTCATAAAAGATGAAGAAGTGTGAATAATTGATTACTAGTGGCCAGTTTCACCAAGACAGGTGGACGAGCAAAGGCTCAGCCAGGAGGGCTGCCCGAGCGCCTCCAAAGGAGACCTAACATCTCAAAGCTGCTTTACGAATGAATCTACTACCGGATCGGAATCGCGACCCACTGAGAAGATCTGACGAGAAACTGCGGGCTGATGCATGGGCAGGGTTGCTCGTCTAACTCTGTGCCGAGTTCGACGAGCCCGCTTATCGGCCCACGATCGATCAGCCCACCTGGTGTTAAGTGGTTACTTGTTTAAATGCAAGCTCATGTTGAGAAGTCGTAAGCGAGATTCAGGCATCTGTCAAATATCTTGTGTTTTATGATGGCTAACGCCACAGTCCCATGGCAATTTAAGATCTGTTTTTCGATGCTCATGCTCAGTGGTGGATTTACACTAGGGGCAGTCGGGGCAAGTGCCTAGGGCGGCAAATTTTTTAAAGTAAAAAAAAATTTTTTTAGTTATATCAAGATTGCTCAATATAATTAATTAATTCTAATAATTAATCATTTTCTTTTTAATTAATAATTCAAGAAATTCAATTCATCCATCATTTGTGAATTATAATTTTTGCACTTTTAAATTAAAAGGTAAAAATTAATAATCTAAATGATTTAATCAATTTATTTCCTTGGAGATTTAAAATAATAATCGATTTTTCTATTTTCTGTAATTAAAGAAATGTAATTAGTTTTCTTTATGTAATATAATTATGAGCCACCCTTAGTCAAATTTTATAATTGTTAGAAAAAAAACAAATATTTATTTATGTTTTTGGAATATATGACACATGATACATTTTCCGCGATTAATTAGTTATTTTAATTTTGAACTATAAAATATATTAATTATAAGTTTAGGTAAAATTCTAGTATTGGGGTGGATTTTTTTCCGTGCCCAGGAGCGGCATTAAGTTTAAATCCGGCCCTGCTCATGCTTATAGTCTCGATTTTTTAAATTGCTTTTTTTCTATTCATAATTTTAGTAGGTACAACATTACACTAGCAGTTCAAGTCCTTGAGTAAATGGCTGGGCCATATGGAGAAACAAACTGAAGTAAATTATGACGTATGTGTTTAAAAACTTAGGGTACCTACTAAAATATGGAGCAAAATCACTGCGTGAAAAGGTGTTTGTCGAAAAGCGATTAATTAGGGTGGCGCCACCTTAGCAAGCGGTGAAATTTTAAAGATAGCGCCAAAATCTTATTAAATATCTCAACCCAAGATACTTCAGTCCTTTTACCAATGTAAAACGCATATCATAGTTTAAGCTACGCTAGGTTATCATTACTTTGTTGAGTTTGTTGGTTTTGTCAGTTTTTCAACTTGTCCCCCGTATAAGATTTTTCTTCGGACCTGTCCATCATATTTCCCCATTTCTCAATAACTTGACTATGTAACCTATCTGTGGTAAGGTAACAATAAAGAAAGAACAGTTTGGGTTTCATTTAAGTGTTTTATTGTTTTTAATTAACAAATGTTTTGTTCAGATAACCTATTTTCAGGAATCTTATTTTATTAAATACCTAATATGTATATATTTTTGTGAATTAAAATGTTAATAAATAATGTCACTAAAATATAGGTACTTTATACCTTAAACGAAAATAATTAAATATTTACTAAAACCACCATCAAAAATGTAATTCTTGAATTAAAAAAGCAGTTTAACTAGGTTAAATAAGTGTTGTAAATAAAATTTGTTTCTTCTTTAAGTGCTAATATGTACACAATTTCTCATTAATTCCAACTTTAATAATAATATGTTCTAACTAAAATAAAAAATTTCCATATAAGAAAATAAAGTGTTGAGTTTTGCTATTAGATGCAAGTATGGTTAAGTAATGCAAAGCTGATTGTAATGAATATTATATAGGTACTCAATGTCATAAGCGACGGCCTAATGCCAGAGCCAATTAGCTACCTCGCACTCCATATGTTGCTTATCCGCAGATGTCTTCCGAACCAGAGCAATAAAAGAATCAATATTTTAATATACAGTGCAATGTAATTGGCTGCATTCAAAACAATCACTAATATTCTTTGGTTAACATTCATATTAACATATTGCTATTATAACTGCTCAGGTTTTTAATAACATTTTGCATCTATATCATACTAACGTAATATGCTTTATCTGCCCAACATTAATGGAAGTATCTTTGCCAATAATTACCAAACTATGCTCTCAGTAACACATCAATTCAAAATAATGTAAATAATAAAAATATTAAAATAACTTAAAGCATTTTATAGAGGGAAGATTTGAAATCATATTTTATTTTCAGAAACTAACTTTCCCCAAGAAACATTTACTCTATTTTATTTCAAATCAAACATTTATTTCACTGCCAGACTGCAAAAAAAATCCTAATCAATCACAGTAGGTGATAATGAATTAATATCCTCATATTGTATGATAACAGAGCTTTCTTTTTTTACTTGTATTTTTTTTGTAAGAGCTTTTGGTCCAGATTCTCCGTGTCCATGTTTCTTTCTCATGTGATCATTAAGATATCGTTTCCTGTAGAAACTTTTCTCGCACAACGTGCATTGGAATTGTTTATCAGTATGACGTTTTTGATGCAGAAGATATGTTTCTTCATTCTCCAAAAACACTCCGCATACCAAACACGGTATGTTAGCACCCGTGTGTTTCGCTCTGTGCTTCTTTATCGTTTCATTCTTGTTTGCTACGTATTCACATAAATCACATTTATAAACTTTGCTATCCTTAAAATGTACATTTCTTTTGTGGTTACACAGATCTGATATAGTGTAGTATCTCGATCCACATATTTCACATGACAACGTTTTAATATCAGCATGCCTTTGCATGTGCACTTTCAATGTTTTCTTCGTTTTGAATATTTTATTACATATTACACACTGTTGATTCTTTTCTGAGTGACCTTTTAAATGTTTGTAGAACTTGTTTCGACCTTTAAGGTATTTTCCGCATACATGACAAGTGCCTTCTACTTTATAAAGCTTGTGGACATTTTCTTGATGACTGCTAAGTGAACTATGTTGGGTGAATGTCTTTAAACATATAGAACATGTGAACGGTCTCTCACCACTGTGACATAAGTAGTGATTCATCATATCTTTAACTCTGATCGATTTATAATCACAATCCTTACAGTAGAACATGCGGTTTTTACCTTCGCCCTCAATCCTAATGAATTTGGCCACAGTACAACTAGCAGGACTTATTTTCTTGTGTAAATGATATGCTTTAAATGATTTGAACTGACGTTTGCATCGTTCACACTTTAAATAGCTGCTCTGGTGGGCCCTTTTCCAATGTACTCTCAGCTTGCATTTACTTTTAAATAACTCTCCACAATCATGACATTCTAAACTCAAATCATTGGCTCTGCTCTTTTTAATATTCTTGTCTTCAATTTCAAATTCGGTCTCAACACTGTTTTCATGAAACGATGTATCAAATTCACAGTTATTGTCAAATGATAATTCCTCCTTTATATCTACTTTCGGAATCAAAGGGTTCTTAAATGTATCGTTAATTAACGTGAAATAGGAATGTTCACATTTTTGTTTGAACTTTACAGCCTTTTCCAGTTCGTGAAAACACTCGTTGCAGATACAGTCGGGTAAGGAGTCACCTTTAACTATTTCTACTTTTGCGATTGATATTATCAAATCCGATATCGCGCGACCGTTTTCTACATGGAACAATGACAAGCAATCATCACTCGGGTAACATCCCAAACAAACACGACAAACTTTAAACGAATTCTTGTTATCTTCTTCCATACTGGATACAATATTCAATATAAACTGTTACGTTTTTGTATCCATTTTATTTACACTACATTGTGTGACAATTGTTTTCTATGAATTGGCATTGTTAAATTTACATTTACATTTGTTTTTACTATAATACACAAAATGTGACTCTAATGTCTAGTGTTTATATTTTTATTTTTTATTTAACTTGGTGTTTGTCAAAAGTATATGTAAGCTAACGTCAAGTGTCAATGTCGTAACTCTTAGAGAGAAGTTGCATTTTTCCAGATGGTAAGGCGAAGAGATTTTAAGCATTCTGTGTATGAAAAACTAGCGGCGAACACTTTTTTAATTTTTTTTATTGCTTAGTTGGATCGACGAACTCACAGCCGACATAGTGTTAAGTGGTTACCGGAGCCTATAGACATCTACAACATAAATGCCGCCATACGTCTTGAGATATGAGTTCTAAGGTCTCAGTATAGCTACAACGGCTACCCACACCCTTCAAACCGAAACGCATTACTGCTTCACGACAGAAATAGGCAGGGCGGTGGTATCTACCCGGGCGGATCCACAAGAGGTCCTACCACCAGTAAAAAGATAAGATGGGAGGAAATAAATTCTCAGTGAAAGGTGATTATTTTTTTGACTTTTTCAGTGGACTTTATTTCATTTCCGCTCATAACATTTATGAACTTTTAAAGTTTTAAGCCTGAAGAAAAACTAAATATACAAAATAAAACAATTCAATCTTCACTTCTCACGTTCCCGCCAAAAGTCTGTCATAACACTCATTATCATTACTGTTTTTTTTTGTATTCTATGCACCGTTTATTGTAATGTCTGTTATGTTATTCCATGGAGTTAATAAGTACCTACAACTGTTATTCAGTCTTAGTGCTTCTTTTTTTTTTTTTTTTTTTTTTTTTTTTTTTTTTTTTTTTTTTTTTTTTTTTTTTTTTTTTNGGATTGAAATGAAAAGAAGAAGAAAATAAAACAAATAAAACCAAAAATAAAAACCAAAGGCGAAGAAAGACAGGATAGAGAATAACACAAAATGATAAACCAAACAGTAAAACGAAGAAAGTTACAGATTACAAATCAAAATATTAAAACAAATGAAGATAACAAAAAGACAGTAAAGAAATCAACGAAATAATCAAAGGGAAAAGGACAAAATTTGGAGGCCCACGCATCTCCAGGAGGACCACCCTTCAACAAGTGAAGGGGGAGGAGAGCTTGGAACCCCCGGAGCTGGTTTTGGTCCACGTCGTTCGGTCTCTCTCGTTGTAATAGAACGAGAGAGACCGGACGATACCCCTGGGAATAGAGCCCAGAGGCCCGTTATCCGCCACCTACGGACGCGCCCGGTAGAAGTCCAGCAACTCCCGCGGGGTCTTAGTGCTACCCTATCAGAGAAGGATAATTTCTACTCTATTTTACTGAAACCCGATTTTTTTTAATCTATAAATGCCTCTGCAAGCTTATCTACTACCACTAATTAAGCATGATACTTGTACTGTACCGAATATATTGTACAATGCTATTCTTCAAAGAAATAGTACTAATATAAACGATAAGTGGATATTACTTGAGTAAATTTGTAATGACATAATAATATGATTCATTCATAATACTCATCCAAGCAACGTGTATAATCGATGCGTAACGGTAGCCAAACATGTTACTATGAGCTTAGAACCGTCAATTGGTTATTTGTTCTTCACAATTATATTACAATACATTAAATGAAAACAAAAATAAAAATGAAACACAAATGCTTTAAATAAATATATTTTTAATTAGTATCACTATTATAAATCACTTTTTTCACATACATATATTGCTGTGACGTCAAACAGGACCGATAATTTATTTCATTTCAAGACTATTTTGTCTGCACGGTTATATATTTCCTATGGGACTAGTTACAGCACTCACGTCTACACGTTCATCCAAACAATATTATTATAAACATCACTTACTTCATAAACACAAATAAAACTCCTTAAAATATATGATTACTTATTACTTCTAGGGGTCTCATCAACTTTATTCAAATTCGTTGTAGATTTTATGATCCTCGTGTATTCAATAAAACTCAAAATTCAATGTTATCTGCGTTCATTGGTATTTTTAGGAGTGAGAATAAAAAAGTATTTTTTAAACATGTATTTATGTTTTTATTTATATTATTGTATATTTAAATGTGTATTATTTATTTATTTTATTCATTGTTTATGTAAGTAATAATTTCGATGAATTGTAGAACTTCTACAGCTACATACTGCTGAAAGCCTTGGTAAATGGCAGTTTTATTGCTAATCTAAATGATTTTGGAATCCACTAAGAGACGCTTACGAAATATGTAAAGCATTAAAAAATCTGTAAATCCGTGAAATGTGTTGCTATTATCGAAAATTTCACATTAATTTAAAAATTGAGAAATAAATTATTTTTAACACTTTTCGAAATTCTAACAGTTTCATCATTTTTATGGAATAAATCAATACATTTTATACGAAGTGTCACCAAAAAATGTGGAATCACAATCAAGATGTTCTTTTGACTTAAACAAAATTAATTCAACATTCTGATTCCTTTTTTTATGAAGAAAGGATTACTGCTGGTCCGGAGGCCTTTCCAGTTTTACCAGGACAGGTATTCTAATTCTATATGTTACTTTCATGATGAAAGGTTATTAATCCGACAAAAATATATCGATAACGGACCAATAGTATTTCAATCGATAAGAAACAACGCAGGATAGATTAATTGAATTAATATTAATATTTATTCTACTGTATTAAAAATGGTATTGGAAATGACGAAATTGTTTATAATTTCGATTAAGGTGTCTTAAAAAGCACTTAAAAATAGTCGTGATGTTTTTATTTGTAACGCTTTGTTGAATCGAACTCATTGTATTGCAGATGCAAGTCAGCTGACTCGCGGGGTCGTTGATCTGTTACGCCACGGGGTATCGGTTCGAAATATGAAATTACTAAAATGATAAATAATTATTCCCAATTTAAAAATTAGTTTTCTGTTCCGTTAGGGATACAGATTATTAGCGTGTAGTTTTTTTTTTATCGCAGCTTAGGTGTTATTGTGGATTCAGTTTTGAAATATTAAAAAAAAATATGTTTAAGTTAAGGATATTGATAGCCGAAATTTTAAATATAAATTAGTTCATCTAAGAAAGTATTTAAGATATAAGAAAGAAGCTGATACAAAAATTGGCTTCTGTTGAAGCTAGTGTAACTACTGCCTGAATTAATGAATGAATACCTGTCGTAGATAATGTCAAAATAACGAAATAGTTCGCAACTTACAAACAGACTTACAGAAAACGGACAGACGCCAAAAAATAAAATGTTTTGCTAAGTTTAAAATTTTAATTTAAAACCAGATTTTTCGTTTTGACAACATTCCTGTTTTGACAGTTTTAGGAAACGTATGTAATAATACAAATATCAAAGACATTATAAAATCGAATAGAAGTCACACAGATGCACAAGAAACACGCAAGCATCCGGTAAACTTAATAACTTAATGATAAGGTATGAAGAGATAAATGACAAAGATAAAATCTCTTGTTTTTTTTTACAAAACGCCTACCGAATTCATTAATGGATTTATTTTCGATAGGATTCAGTTCTGTTAAATGTTAAATTCAGTTTAGAAACCATTTTACAGTTACATTGGTCCCTGGGCAGCTAGTAAAAGACTCGAATTTAATATTTTACAATTTAAAACGATTGTAACACATGAACACATTGATGTTTTATTTAAGGCTGACAACACCTTTATATTATTATTTTTTCAAATGAAGACACTTATTGTACCTACTTATTTGAATTTTTTCGGTAGATCCTACCTACGGTATGCGCGCGAGTTCATGTCCATTGGGGCCAGAGACGACGCTCGGGGACAGCTCGCCCCCCCCTTCGCCCGCCTGCCCGCATTTCTCTGACGTCGAGTGTTGTCCTGACGGTTGTGACGCGCGTTTATCGATATCCAAAATTTACGCTAACGCTATTGTGTTATTTAACTATGACTACTCCACTTCCAACAAGTTCAGATAGAAAAAAACCTACTGGAAAAAGATACATACTGATTCCGACTCTGATCTGTCGGTTGTCTTTTCATTCGATAGTGATTGAATTGAAATTTAAAAAATATTTTTCTCTATTAGAAATAAACAAGTAATTACTTATCACATTTATTTTATTTCATAAATTGCAAAGTTACCTTAAGTTACATTAAACCAAATTGACAGCTGTTGACTAAATCGGTAGTTATTATCGAATTTACCATAATTAATTAGGTCACAGCACTACCGCATTCCTCAGGATGGACATGAACTCGCGCGCCTACAGTATGTATTCCAACAGAATGCTTTTTTTACTTGTAAAGAATGACAGATCAAGTGAACTATGAATTATAAAACTTAACTTAGATTGATTATAATTTGAATGGTAAATACATATTTTTATATTCGAAAACTTTTGCAAAAATAACTAATCAAAAAAAAAAAAAACGAATACAAAAGTTTTATTGGAATAAGATTTACTATTAAAGCTATTTACAAGAAAATTAATAGCGAATTGTCTTGTTCCGCTGCCTACGTAACCTACAAATTCGATAAACTAAACATTTCAATCCGGGGGCTCTTGGTGCGAGCAGTGCGGTACCGGAGTGGGGGATGATTTGAAAGCTCTGGGGAAGAGGGAGGCGTACGACGGGGGCGGCTCGTACTCGGGAGGGGTTGGGGGCAGGGGCTGCGTGAACAGCTGTTGCGAGGCAGCCGTCACTGTGACGGTCGGTGACAGGTCGATACATGAGGCCGGCATGTTGAGGGGGGTATCCGAAGGCTTGGAGCGCTTACAGCAACATTCTGGAATATAATAAACTTATTAGTATTTTGTTTTTTTATTGCTTAGACGGGTGGACGAGCTCACAGCTCACCTGGTGTTAAGTGGTTACTGGAGCTCATAGACATCTACGACGTAAATGCGCCACCCACCTTGAGATATAAGTTCTAAGGTCTCAAGTATAGTTAGCTCTTTACATATTTGTTCAAGGCTCTGCAGAGGTGGTCGATTTTCCACCAACCAAGAAACCATTAGATCTTATAAAGTTTACGCGACTTTCAAATAAAAGATTAGAGATACTTAAATACAATTTAGTCTGTAATGATTATATGGGTTCTAAGGTCTCAATATAGTTACAACGGCTGCCTTAACGAACCCTTAACGAAATGCATTACTGCTTCACGGCAGAAATAGGCAAAATGGTGGTACCTACCCGTGCGGACTCACAAGAGTTCCTACCACCAGTAAAAATCAAACTAATACACTAATTTGGTACACTAATTCCTGTACTGATGTTCTTCTATCTTCTAGGCATGCTGCTGCATATAGGCCTCCCCTCATGCCTGGACACTACGCCATTCCGCGACCTTCAACAGGTCGTGGGTCTACCTTATGGGAGGTCTACCCACTGCCTACGTCTTCATTTATTACTATCGTATTCTACGAGTAATGTGTCCTGTCCGCATAATGGCCTATTATCGCGTACAAAATCTCCGATCCTAGACCTACCAAGCTACAGTTCAGATTGGACATATATAACCATGAGCCTTTAAAAAGAAGACGCCGTACATGGAAGTGCCAGAGACGTGTGAACTCACCCCAAGCGAGACAGAACATGAGTATGGTGGCGCAGACCAGCATCCCGACCACGAGGTAGCTCCAAGGTCCGTACGGCTTCAGGGCAGCCGCGAACTCCATGAACGCGTTCGAAGACTTCTCACTTTCACTGATCTTCACTGAAAATTTCAGATTGCCTGGTATCAGTTACATCTGAAATGTTACTTTCGTTTAGGGAACTGAGGGTTTTTAGGTTTTTGTCCTTGGAGAGATATCTTAGTTACGTCGATGCACATGTGTAGTCTGGTATTTCCTTGGTTCTGTGGTATGGATTCCTCTTTGAAACTTTGTGGTTTGCGCCGGTTAATGTGAGAAGATCACGATTAGATGGATCAAAAGTTGGTGGTTGTAAAAACTATGATCTTTTATATATAAGAGAATTGATTTGTTTATAATTATGGCGCATAGTCGTCTTCTAAACAATTATGTATCTAAATATATGGTTGAAGTTTTTTTTTTAAATAATCTAAATTCTAAATTGAAAGATATTTCATGTCTTGTTTCAATTTGGCACTCACTTATGACTGAAGGCTTCGTTATGCCTTCAGGCTGGTCCAGACCGAGCAGCTCTTGATTTCTGGCAGCAAACCTCCTGAGGAGTTCCAGCAGGGGAGGGTCCCGTCTATGAGAACAAGCACTAGGGTCCTCGTCTTCTCCGCCGGGACAGTGGCGGACTCCATCGCAGACCAAATACGAAGAAACGCAAAGATTCGTTGCGCCGCATACGAACTGAGACTCATTGCTACAGACAGCTCCTGAAATTAGATTTTTTTAGATGAAGACTTGAATTATTAATTTTATTTTGCGTAATTACTGGTGGTAGGACCTCTTGTGAGTCCGCGCGGGTAGGTACCACCACCCCGCCTATTTCTGCCGTAAAGCAGTAATACGTTTCAGTTTGAAGAGTGGGGTAGCCGTTGTGACTATACTGAAACCTTATAGCTTATATCTCAAAGTGGGTGGCGCATTTACGTTGTAGATGTCTATGGGCTCCAGTAACCACTTAACACCAGGTGGGCTGTGAGCTCGTCCACTCATCTAAGCAATAAAAAAAAACGCCCTCAATTCTTGTAGTTTCGTTTTGTTATAGTCGCAATTGCACTGGATAATGGTTAACCCTTCACAGAAAAACGCGCGTTGACAACCTGACCAAACTAATGACCCGATGAAGTATTACTAGATGCTTTTGAGGACTAAAATAATAATAAGATTGATGTTTAGTGTATCAATTGAAAACTCACCACTATAAACAGCGGCAACCACAAGACGCAGTTTCTCTGTATGTTGGTATGGCGAGCTGGGTGGATTCCAGACTATCTTGATCTTCGGCGGCAGCAGCTTCGTTCCAGCTCTTGCAGCGATGGCCACCGAGTTCCCACCGCATAACGACAAACGCCATGCTGGATTCTTCGCATCAGACACGTACTGGAATGAGAATGTCGGAATGGTAATCGGTGGCGAAGCTTGTTATAGAATGTGGACTCGTAATAAGGCATAGCTAAAAGAAAACAAGACCAACAAAAGGGCCTTTTCTTTTTTGGTGTTCGGTGTCTATAGACCGAACCAGTGTGGCTATTTAGCAGTTATCGTCAAAAAAAAAACAGCGAGAGGCTAGAAAAAGGCACGAAACTGCATCTCTCATAGCTGTAAAGGTTTTGGCAAAGTTTTACGACCGGCCGCCTGCCTGACGTCTACCCTCCTAGGGAATGCTTTTGTTGGTAGATTACCCGCTACCAGTCGGGTAAGGCGCTGGCTGTTTGCGCTTAAATTCCCCTGTCGCCTTTCACGACACCCCTAGGAAGATAAGGGGACGGATCTATTCTTAGCCGGATCCGCACGGGAAAACTGTTTTATCTCTGCCTATAAATATATAAATTAACGACTTCGAACATTCGTGAACATCCCTATTCACGGAAACATTGAGCGAAAAGAAACCGCCATGGTTACTCTACTCTTTGCAATGGCGTGGCCTAGTCTAATACACTATTCACGGAACATTCGATAAATACAGCTTACATTTCCGGCGGGTGATTCGTCATGTTCCCGATTATAACGGATTTAAATACGCATGGGGCGTTTAACATCAATTAACCCCGGCGCTCGGGCACTCGATAAGTCAAGTATCTCCTTCGGGCTGGTATCCACTTGGCACAATTACCGGGCCGAACTGACGAAAAACGAATAATTCAAAAGCAGTAATGTAAGCAAAACATAAATATAGTAGGAATTTTAAAGCATGAGCTTTGAAGAAATCATGCTTAATATTTCCAAGTGCCCTTTTGCTTTCGTCCTAAAGTTACGTGTATAAAAATGAATCGACCATAAAAATGTATGTCGCTGAGAATTTAGGGATTTCGATTGGGTTTATAAGGTAATTTATTTGCATTCTGGACCCCTACCTGTCTGCGTATTGAGATTATTGTGATATAGAGCAACCGTGTGAAGAATTAAAGCCAGGTCCATAAAATCGGCGTTACTTTTTGCCATAGCAGAGCAAAGTACCTTATACCTTGAATTAATTAGGTATTTTGAGATACTACAACGTAAAAAATACCATCCACCTATAGATGGAAGATTTAAGGATATGTCAATTAACTTGTGTTCTATCATAGCTACTGCCACAGAGGTAAAAAGTATCGCGAGCTTATCCAATTATTAAGGACGAGAAGAAACAATGACCCGGGACAGGGGTATACCAGCCCTTACGATACTGTAATTGGTCATTAGCCAATTGACCTATAATAGCAATATGAATCGGAATTATTGCTAGTGAAATTAGTGGTAGGATTGGTTGGCAATGCAGTAATATCTACATCTACCTATATATTGACTGCTATATCTTTCTGTAAATTTCTGTTAATTTTCTGTTCTGTTAATTTTTGCAATAAGATCACCTATTCGTACAAATGTATCTGCTTGTTGACTGCTTTTTTAATGTTATCTCTCTCCCTCTCTCTTTCTCTCTCTCTCTCTCCCTAATACTTACCACAAGCAATTTACAAGCGTCAGTGTTGTTATTGGCGGGTGCTGCTTGATCGGTAGCGGTGTCTTGTGCGTGAGCTGGAGCCCGCGCGCTCCACTTGCGGCCGGCGGCTCCTGACGCCTGAAGCTCGGTGAAGCCCCGCTCCCAATCGGACAATGATTCCTGTGAAGGAAACCGGAACATGTTTTAGTATCGGCATAACGATGTAGATGTATCCGAATTTGGTTAACGGTGTTTCCCCGCGCACATTAGTTGATTACAAACCAAAGATCACAGCTTTTTTTTTCCTACCTAAGCTGATAGCCTTGATATATCAGCGTAACCTTAACTAGTAGGTGAGCTCACGGGGCTCAAACCTGACGACGTTGCTAACACGAACCCTAGCAAGAGCCGTGCTTCGCAGAATCTACCACCGGATCAGAAACGAGACCCACTGAGAAGATCCGGCGAGAAACTCAGTGGGCCATGGGTTAATTTACTCGCCGAACCCTTCGTCCCGTGTTCCCTGTAGCGGGGTGCATAATTGTCCACATCACAAATATTAACACACAAATACGTCCGATGACTGTCGAGTGGTTCCAGTGTTGCGAACGCTGGCAATGAACTCAATTTATTCAAGCACACAGCTAAATTGATCTTATATTAATAATATGGCATTCATATTAATAATGTACCTATTTTAATGCAGAGCATACATATTCTATAATCAATAATTGAATATGTTAGATTTAATGAACAATTTTCTAATGAAAACTTACTCTGGAAATTGTAGCTCCTTAAAAGTATTTTCTATTATTGGAATCGTTATTATTTTACGGAACGCGGCAAATGCTTCAAATACCTACTGTTATCACAATAGGATAAGGCGATCCGACTAGCATCAAATCCTCAAACCCACAAATAGCTTGTGGAAGACAGTTACCTATAGAATAGTAACAGTGACTATACTGAGACCTTAGAACTATATCTCAAGGTGCGTGGCGCATTTACGTTGTAGATGTCTATAGGCTCCAGTAAGCACTTAACACCAGGTGGGCTGTGAGCTCGTCCACACATATAAGCAATAAAAATAAAAAAAAAGTTAATAAAATCTAACACAATGAAAAATAAATTCGTCAAATCGGTCGAGCCATTCTCTAATGATGTTAAGTCATACACGCAGCAATTGCTTTTTATACACGCGTTATTTATTACCTATCTGTATTTTCGAATTCTGTCAAACATGAAACATTTGAGAACGTGTTTGTACAACGGAAGGCTAACGACGTAATACAACAAATAAAAACTTATTATTTATTATGTAAATAAATTCAGTAGTTTTCGTAACACGATTGTAAAATGCTTGCCATATCGAATTATGGGCTAAATCCTGAATACATAAATACGTCATTCGCAAACATAAACAATTAGTATAGATCTATTTAATATGCTCGTTTTTTTATATACCTAATCTAAATAGTTGTTGTATGTTAGTAGTGTCTTATGTTACCAGAATTAATTGAGTTTATAACTTCATAATTTGGTAACAGCTAAGCTTTGTACATACAATTTATCTGTATGTATCACGCATATGCGCCATTCAGATAAGTTTAAAATTATATTGAACATGAAATCTTAAAGGCTACAGTTTGAAGGTTAGTATTATTGCTGTACAGATTAGCTCACGGCAGATCTAGTAAGGCGGTTGGCGTTTAATTGCCAACATTAAAATCCGGTTGAAGTTTCAATTGCATAGTTACGATGTCAGCAATTTTAACCGAAAAGTATGGCTATTATGCGGTAGAAATGCTTAAGATGGTGGTAAAACGCGAACCAGAACAAGAGTAATTACCGATTATCTGGATCTCACGGTCTGTTTGGTATCTACGGCGTCTATGGAGACTTCTGTTGTCTATGCGCTCTGCACGAGAAGTGCTGTGAGGAGTTTATCAACTATTTTTTTACCACACTGCGACTAGATCTACAATACAGCAGACTATAGCCTTACTACCTTAATCTACGCATTCATTCACAGTGCGTGTCCAGAGATCAATGTTTCCCACAACGCTTACGGCTTTAGCATTCTTGGTCTTCGATCCATTGATCCAATGCTCACCGTCAGGTTAATCTCCATCTTCAATAATAACAAAAATCAAACTGTTGTGTGTTCAATGTTAATACACACCATTCGCATAAACCAATTCAAGTATACCAAAGAAAAACTTATTGCCTTGCGTAAGGAACAAAAAAACAATTGACTAACGGTTTCGATCTTAAATCCTTAATATAAACGGATAAAAACACATTTCATAACTTATTCGCGCCACGACGTTGAATACAAAGATTTGGGATTCAAATTTCCTTATAAAAGGCTGTGTTGATTGATGATTCAGTTTCCTTGATTTCTTAACCGATGTTTTGTTTTACACTTCGAACAATAACGGCTGTGGAGAATGTGACCTACAAGTGTGTCAAAATGTGAGGCAATGGTTCTACAGTTTATTTTAGAAACCAGGTTCTGTAGATCTCAAATGTTAATGCAAGCCCGACTTTTTCGAATTACCAGTGTTTCCCGTTCGTCTTTCGGTAATAATCTTCTTAGTATCTCATCATACCAAAGTTACCGTTCTTAGAAAATTGGAAGAGGTCTGTCTATATTCAGCGCCTCAGCGGTGCAAAACCGTGGTTTAATTAATTATGGAGGATCGAATATTTCTGGGGTATCGTTTAACAGCGGATGCGTATTTACAAGAATTTACTCGTAAAAATAGCGCTCATCGGTAGATTTGCTCGATAATATATCTGACAAATAGATACCACAGTAGTCAGAAATGAGGGGATCCGTAGAAGAACCAAAGTTGCTGACATAGCCCGTAGGATTAGCAAGCTGAAGTAGCAGTGGGCTGGCCACATAGCGCCAAGATCGGACGGCCAATGGGGCAGAAAGATTCTTGAGTGGAGACTATGTAGGGGCAAGCGCAGTGTGGGACCCACATAGCACCTATCCACCTACTAGACGGACCGAAAACCTAGTGAAAATCGCCAGGTCACGTTGGGTGCAGGTGACAATGGATCGGCCGCACTGCAGATCGATTGGAGAGGCCTAAGTTCAGCAATGGAAAGCTATAGGCTGAGACGAAGATGAAATAGATATGAGAGTAGACACTTCACAGACACAAATATTGAGGTCGAATGTCAGCACACGAGAACATTTTTCATGTGCGTACATTGAAGATTGGAGTTATTGTCTACGGATCGACATTTATGTCATCGTTTCAAAATAACATATCCAATGTCCAATCTGTTTCAGCAATAAGATCGTATTATAATAATTTATGTAGTAAATAATACGTATTACCGTTATGAATAATGACAATTTATGAAATGAAAAAAAAAACTAAGGCTTTCTGTTCTTATGTAAATTACTCACTAGTATTCCTTCGCCCTTGTGTCTGATTACCGCTTGTTGTGCTTAGAAATACGACCTTTAATGCGGAAAATTCAAGCGTCATTTCGTATTATACGTCATATTATGTTTTCACAGATAACAATTGATGGTTTATGTTGTTAATTTGAATTATACACAGACTTTTATTTAGAATTTATTATACGGAATTTTTCTAATGAAATACGTACTTAACAAATGTTCACGATTGACTTCCATGGTGAATGAATAACATCGAGTAATAAAAATCAATCCCGCAAAATTATAATTTGCGTAATTGATGGTGGTAGGTCCTCTTGTGAGTCCGCACGGGTAGGTATCACCCTCCCACTTACTTCTGCCGTGAAGCAGTAATGCGTTTCGGTTTGAAGGGTGCGGCAGCTGTTGTAACTATACTTGAGACCTTAGAACTTATATCTCAAAGTGGGTGGCGGCATTTAAGTTGTAGATATCTGTGGGCTCCAGTAACCACTTAACACCAGGTGGTCTGCTGTAACAAATAACTATAAAAACCTAGTTTAGGTTTCAATTGGTAGCTCAATACCGTTTATATTCTAAACCGGCAGACTTCGTAGTGCCTCAATCGATAAATAAAAGACCTAAACTTTTGTATAAAATAAACTTTAAACAAACAAAAGGGATCCATCCGACGGGGGACACATCAAAGGGAAAACAAAATTGTTATTTTTATTTAATTCCGCGCATTTTCATATTTATTTCATCACATTTTACACCTTCTCTGGACTTCCACAAATAATTCAAGACCAAAATTAGCCAAATCGGTCCAGCCGTTCTCGAGTTTTAGCGAGACTAACGAACGGCAATTCATTTTTATCTATAGGTATATTAATACGTGAAGCAAAAACTTTGTATCCCTTTTTACGAAAATTGCGCGGACGGAGGAGTATGAAATTTTCCACACTTATAGAGAATATAGAGAAGAAGTGCACAATGCTAATATTTTTTTTAAATAATGCATAAAAGACACATTAAATCAATAAAGAAAACATTACACACACTACATACCATGTATTTGACGCAACACGCATGCATACTCTTTACTGTCAAACTTTTGTTCTTGACGTCTGTTGTCAAATTGAGAATAGATTAAATCGTAGTCTTGGCGAAATTTGTGATTATAAAAGTATAAAATACAATCATAATAGTGTACAAACTTACAATTCCAATTAATTATAGTCGAATTTCGACTACTGCGGGACCTCTAGTATATATAGATATGTTTATCGCCATTTCTAGATAAGTTCCTGTACACCCACATGTAACATTTATTTATTTATTTTATCATATATTATACATTATACATTCGTGACCTAGAATCGACCCTCATTACAAATATATGACTGCCGGTGTTGTCTTAGTTTGTAGTTTTTAGTTTGTATTTATTGAATAAGGCACCGAAAGCCAACGTATCAAGCATCATAAACAGTTCTGTAGCTATGTATGACGTAAATTGCGTCAACAAATACATTGTTCTTTCATGTAGGAGTTGGGTAAGAAACGTTCCATTGTTCTAAAATTTTTAAGTTTTATCGTGTGTGAAGTTTGTTGCTTCTTGTGTTTACGAAATATTTATGCAGGATTGGTAAGAACGGAACGTATGTTAAGAATATGGAACGGAGCGTTGAGGTGTGAGTGAGACAATACGGTAAGAAAGGGAAAAAAGATTCAAAGAAGAAAGCAAGATGGCGAGGATGATTGTATGAGCAAGGTGTACATA